CACTAGATTTTGTTTTTCTAAAATATTATGTGACAAATTCATGAGATCACTGGCTTCCTCTTTTTACAGCGGAGGAGCAGAAAGAAGCCAAGACGCACAGCCATGGAGCACGCTAACCCAGTGTGTTTTAATAACATTAGATTTTTAAACCTTTTTTTTTTCAAGTTGGAACAACATTCAAGGATAAAATACTCCCACATAAAGATGACAAACTTACAACATGAAGAAGTCGAAGAAAAACTCCAAACTTTATTTTCAAGCTCACTGTAACTGAATCAAAAGTTGCCATTTACTAGGAGACAAGACTAACACCTTGTACTCAGCTGGATCTACTAGCTGGAGGACATACTCTCATACATAGATATATCCTTAAATAACTTCAAAAGAATCCTAGATTTTTTTTTAAGATGGTGTTCTATGGTAAACTGAGCTCAATTTAACTCCGGTTTAAGTACGGGCAATAAGTCGACTCTCGGGTTTATTATGAGAAGCCGTGTGGAGATTATCACCTAAACTCGAGATAAATGGGTTAAAACACACTAAGGGAGCACAAGATGGTTCCTGGAAGAGTAGAAAATTACTATGTCTTGGCGCCTTGAGTTCACCCCCAGACCCATTACCTCCCTCGTGGTCCTAATGGTAGTCTAACTTATTGTGTATAATTGTAAATATAGTTTTGCTTTTTCTAGATTTCTTTATTATATCTCTACATATAGCTATTGTAACACAGTGGACTTTGTTTTTTATTAGAGATTTAAAGGGATATATTTTGGAATTGAATTTGAACACAACTAGTACTGTACGATTGATGGATTGACTTACTGGTCGTCAACACCTCAGTCATTACGGCCGTAGCCCAGTTGACAGTTGTCTTCAGTGATTGGGTAATAATTCAACTGATTGTAAATAAACGCCTTCACCTCTCCTTCACACATAAACGGTAATACTCTACCTAACATAACCTAACATAAACTAACCTAACCTAAACCATTGGGGGTAATAATTGTAATCCGCCATATTGTGTTGACAAAGGAATTTCTGCAACGTATTAAAGCCGAATCCTTCACTTAAGCTAACACAGAAACCTATAAAAAAAAACATGAATACTGTAAATCGTTCAGGAATTAATTACGATTCGGAAGTGTCTCTTGTATAAGGTCATCACATTGATGTTTTGGGTAAAGAAGATCAAAATGTTCTCACTAGAAAGGTGGATTGTTGGTGGAGAGGAGGTGCAATATTATGGCTTACTTTACCAGAAGCCTGCACAAAGGAGGGATTCAGGCGCTGATCCTGGCAAGACTCTTTTGCTGCAGTTTGCCCCAAGCTCGCCTGTGGAAGAAAATGGCGCAGCGTCTCGCCTAAAAATAAACATATAATAGTGAAGAGGTAAGAGGAGCCGAGAGATACAGAGGATGAACCTAGCACGATGGTAATGGCTGTGTGTGTGTGTGTGTGTGTGTGTGTGTGTGTGTGTGTGTGTGTGTGTGTGTGTGTGTGTGTGTGTGTGTGTGTGTTATTCTTTCACAGATTCAGTGTACGATTTCTTTTCTTTACATCTGGTTGATTACCGCATCTGTTCCGTGTTTTTGTCATACATAACAGCAATCATTAACACCTAAATAACTCTGTATCATAACTGACCAGAGAAGTGTAGTCTAAAACCAACTCAGTGACACAAACCAGCACACCCCCCGTCCAAGTCCCGAGCAGAGAAAATCTAGAGTATCATAAATGTGACTAATGTAAAACCTGTTCCTCGCTGTATACCGGAGGGCAGCTTCGCCATCCACACCAGGTCTTCTCCTTGGATTTCCATTAGAATAAAAAAAATAATAATAAATAGCTTGTAAGAGATAAAATTAATAGGAATAATATCACTATATGTAGATAAAATTAAGCTTTCCATGAACAAGCTCGTCATAAGAAACATGATCCAGTTTATCGATACTTTTTCTCTGGTGGAACTTAAAGATTTTGAGGTTAAATTCTGAGGCAGCTTTAGGCTACAAAACTCGAAGAATTAAGTTTAGTAATATCGTAAAACTTATAGATAATCGAGTTGTCACAGATTGATTTGTTGACAAAATTCTAGTAATGTATTGTAAGTCACCGAATGTAATTTGTAGTAGTTGAATGAGGGTGCGCCAAGTCCGTAGACTTGCTGGTGATAGATTTGGTGTCCTTGAGATTATGGTATCCTAGCCACTGGATATTTTTTTAGGCTTTCAAATAAAATACGTTTAATGATATAATTCTTATATTCCGAAAAGTTCAACGATCAGAATGTATGATTACTTTGATTACAGGGGTTTAACGAGCAGCATATGGGATATATATATTTTATTTTAATTCTCAAAGTTTAATGATCAGTGATATTCCAAGACGATGACCTGAGGCAACAAGGCACCGGTGCATCCCGGGCCAGGCTGTGAGGAGGAGGATATACCCGGAGGAGCTACTGGAAATTCCTTCTCTATTTTAATCTCCGGATGACAAAGGACGGCCACCATTTTTCCTGGCGTTAAGAATACCGTGAGTCCGGCTCATAGATTCTCCCACCCCGTCAAGAGCGGCCATCTCATCCGGCCATTGAGCTCCACACGGCTACTTTGTCTGATGAATGGTGGTGCAATATTCGCTGTGTCACTGCCCTTCACTGGCGGCCCACGAAGAGTCCAGCAGCTCCCACCATCCAGGTATTAACAGAAGGGATCACCGTGATGGACGCATTTCTCTCTCTCTCTCACTAAAAAGTATATGAGTAATGGGTTATGGAAGGTTGGCTTACTTCGGGGTTTATATAGAGGGCTGGAGGCATCCCTACGACTGAGATGGGACTGTGTTATGGGTGAAAGGATCTCCATAAATGGGTGGGTTTTATGCAAAGGAAATCTTCAAAGAATTTCCAATAAGTTGATTTTGGGCTTAATGAAACGGGTAGATAGAAATCCATTATTTGATAGGAGTTTATGTAGAGGGTTTTGACAGACATGCCAATAAATTAGTGACTGAAGGAATCTCTTATACTCGTAACTAAGGTGGTCTTTATGTAGAGAGATAAGACACTGCTCTAAGCTAACTTAAAGCCCTGTAATACAACACTTAATCACACTGTTAGAGGTTTTTACAGCTGTGTGTGTCCCTGGGTGTAGCCCTCCAGACCGCACTCACCATCACCGGCCTAGTGAGCGAGCTCTAAGTGAATGAGAAGCCTTGAGCGGTGCTTTTGAATACAGACCCTGACAGCAAGGACTTTAAGCCGAGAAACTTCATTAGTGCCTTCTTGACTAAAGCCATCACGGGCTTGGAATGAAAGAAGACTCTTGATGAGAAAGAATTGAGAAAGAAAGCGAATGTCAAATTACTGACGATGAATGTAATACCACAAAACGGACTAAAAAAATGAAAACTGCACAAACCATCATCGAAGAGACGACACGTACATCTCACAGTAGTATAACTAGGACGGCAAAGACGGAGCTGGCACGGTAAAAATAGTTAGACGACATTAACTGAGGCGAATGCTTTTATTGAGGTCCCCAACGTGAGGCGGGGGAATGAATGATGAATTTTAACGAGAAAACCGACGGCCTGGTGGACACTTTAGTCAGAGAACGATCCTTCGGGTAGTCGGTTAATACAGTACAGTACTCAGACACGGCTAGTTCCTCCCACCAATAACTTGAGTGGCAGCTAAGAGGGAAAAACCTCACTAAGACAGAAATATTCGACGTTGTTGGTGTTGTATGCAAATGAGGAACAAGAAACACTATCGTAAGAAACAATACCGAGAGACAGTTGTGTACAGAACAGATGAGGCGCGCGCTATACTCCAGAGATGCTGTGGAAGGTGAGGGGAACGTACGAGAGAAAAGAAAAATATAAAAATGACAATAAAGCAAAAAAAGAAGATGTAGAAAGAAGAGAACAACACAAAGTAAAAGAAAAAAACCCATAAAGAATCAAAAGGAGAGAAAGAAGAAGCAGAAACAAGAAAAAAGAAACACGAACAACTACAACAATGAACAACAACAGCAACAAAAGAAGAAGAAGAAGAAATAGAAGACGTCTAATAAACGATACACAAATCATTCTTTTGACGCAGCGGTAATGCTAACCAACCATAAAAGGACACAACATACTCAAGGCAAAAATCTCTTCTCTGGGAAATCTCAAAGACGTGTGTGTGGGTGTGTGTGTGTGTGTGTGTGTGTGTGGGTGTGTATGTTTCCACGACCTTTTGAAGCGACACTTGACCTTGGCAGCCCTGACCATGATCTTGATTCGCAACTTAAAAAGCGGAGAAAAATATACACCAACTTGTCGTCGACTTTTAGCTGACGTGTTTACAAGATGTTTCGTTGATATTTAGAGAAAAGAAGATACGTGGATTTACCTACATCATACAGAGGATACATAGACAATTATTAACAAGGGGCTATCATATGAAACGAAGGGAAGGGGGAAATGAAGATAATGATGGAATTAATAAATGAATAGTTTAATATGGTCTCTCTCTCTCTCTCTCATAATCAAGAAAGAGAGAGAGAAACTATATAAATTAAGTACTAAACACGGAAGGGTGTGGTTATATTCCTTGCAAGTTTAACACATTGAGTGATTAACCTGTGAGGGTGGAGTAATTAGTGGAGTAATTAGTGCCGTTAAGGTTAGACACAAAAAAACCTTTACTTATTGACGATATAATTTGGTGGTCCATATGATGAGACACGTGACCATGCATTATTATTCTTTGGTAATGTAAAAGTAGTGTTAGTTTCCTGGCAATCTGTTTGAGGATGTACGGTAACCCACCCCTCTCCCTCCCATAGTGTACGGTAACCCATCCCTCTCCCTCCCATAGTGTACGGTAACCCATCCCTCTCCCTCCCATAGTGTACGGTAACCCATCCCTCTCCCTCCCATAGTGTACAGTAACCCACCCCTCTCCCTCCCATAGTATGAGAGTGTTCATGGAGGTTCTTTCTCTCCCACAGTGCCGCCAGACAGTGTGCGAATCTTGGACATCAACGGCAACGAGAAGAGCTCCACCATTGGCCCCTATGTGCTAGGCATGACCCTCACGCTCAAGTGTGTGGCCACGGGCGGTGAGTATTAGGTGACACTTTATCAATGTTACTCTGAGTTTAATGAGTGCTCGTGAGTCACTTAGAGAACTATCTATGTCTCACTCTTTAACGTATATCACTGTATCTGAGGCATCTTTTAAAGGTCTTTGATTTAATGTAATGATGACCAAGATTTGATGAAGATGATATTAACAAGTTGAATTTACACCTGAATTAGTTGTATTTACCTCCAGGAAAATGAATCACAGCGTATATTCAGTCGACTTTCATAGGCAATGACAATCGTAGTTTTGTCAGTGTAATATTTTCCTTTGCGTTTAAATATATCTCAAGTTATACGTTGTCCCGCTGATAAATTCAACACTTCAAACAAATCTTAAAGTTCTTATTTGAGTTGACTGACTTTACTTTAGGTGATAAACAACGACCTCGTACACAGTGTAACAGTTCTGAATCTATCACTAGCTAGTCTACGGACTTGGCGCACCCACATTCAACTACCTCAACAAGATATTTAACAATTTGTCTGCGTCGAGGCACCTACCGCAGCCTTCTTACTAGCGCAGCTGAAATACGGCTCACACTAAATCTCCCACAAATTTATGTCTTAAGCATTTGCCAGACATCCGAATGCACGAGAATACGACCTTCATGAACGAACACTCTATTATCATTTGTCGGGCTTCGTGGATTTGAGGCTGTTGGCGCCTGTATCACCGGCTACAACAAACTACCTCAAGCTGTCTCTCTCCACTCGTGTGTCTTCTTGTCTATGAATGTATAAATAGATGCCAATGTTTCCCTCACTTAAAGTCGAACACTTTATACATCCCTGAACACACCTTGCTTAGGTTAATATAATAAGCTTATATTTATTATCAATCTAATACGAGCTCTTGAGCGATAAAGTAACTTAAGCAGGATTAAGGAATATCTAACTACGCCTTCCATGATTTATACGTATTATCCCAGAGTCCACGGACGCCGACCACACATACACAAATACGAACGAATTTCCATAATATCCCGCAAACTCTTTTTTTTTCTGATATATTAATCTATGTTATGTTCAGTGCCCAATTTTCTCATATAAATATACAAAGAAGAGGAGAAAAGGCCCTAATATATATATCCTGCATGAGGGTCATTTTCTCGCTTCTCAGGGAAAGGTTTCTCCTCCTTGGAAGTATTCGAGCTGTCACTTAACTACGTAATTAGCTCATATTCATATAATTGCCTCATTCATATCCTTTCATCATGATTGTCCGTCTGAGTAACGACAATTAACCTGCAATTAGTCTTCATTTATATTATGAAATGTTCTCTGAGGTCTCCCTCCCTCCCTCCCACCGTCCCTGTTTATCAGTCTTCCTTCCTTCTCCCACCCTCTGTACCTCCCTCCAACTCCTCTACCTTCTTCCCTCTCTCCCAGCTTCTCAGCCTCCCCCTCTCTCAGCCCCTCCACTTCCCTCCCTCTTAGCCCTTATGCCTAGTAGTAGCGGCTCCGAACTCTGCCATCTAACGTCTGTTATGGCAGAATACCAGTGGAAATCAGACAGGTGAACACATGAGGAACACTTAATGTTGTTGAGGAATTTTCATGGAGATAATTGTCAGTATAACAGAGTTTAGCATCCTTGTGTTAAATAAGTCAGATTAACAGGTACTGTAGTTCATAAAACAAAATTCCTTCAACCGTCATGCAGGTGTAGACAACAAAAAAGAATACTAACATTATTTGTATATTTTTTCCACAACATGTGTGTGGTGGTAAGTCAAGGCTAAAAGGGTTGGGTTAGGTCAGGGCGTTGTCAAGGTTGGTGGGCCGGTCAGCTCACACTGCAGCACAATAAACCTTTTTACAAAACTTTCCAGACTCGTAGCCTAGTAGCCTGCTGAGTCATGGAGCACTAGACGAGATTTTAATTGTGAGGAAAATTCAACCTTGATAGAATTCCAAAATAACTAAGAAATAAAGAAAACAATAGTCGGTGAGCCTGACAATCATCTCTAGAGGATTCTTTCTCCCGTCTCGCCAGAATCAATTAGTTATATGGCATCCATTACAGAAACCTTTTACCAACAGGTACATTAAAAGATAACAAAACGATTAATCAGTGAGACTCGCATCATTTTGGTGTTTTGCCAACTCTGGTGGGAAAGAGTGAGATGGTTTGCAGGTGAGTGTGCTGATGAGAAAAGTTTTGGGGTCAAAGTTCGAGATCACAAACTGAAACAAGAGGATAATATCGAGACATAATCTCTCCTGGATGGTACACGGAACTCAACCAATGATTATTTTTCACGAGGAAGAGTCCGGAGGCAGACACTCTGAGGACTTGGAATTATAGGAGAAACATTAGAGCTTAAGACGTGATCATTGACTGCGTTATTCATGGTGCTGAAGAATGAGTCACTCAGTCCATAAGGAAAAACGTTCACAGGGATCACTAACACAAAACTCTGCGCTGACACAACCAACCAACAGCGCTTAACGTGTTTCTAATAACCCCGTGAGGACATACCTATGAAAGCTACGCCAGGCGAACGTTATCCAGCCTTCTACACTTACTGATGTTTTCATAATAAATCACGCAGAGTTCATCCATATACAGCAGATATAGATTAACACATCCACACATCCACATATCCAGACTCACAAGCTTCGAAAACCCACACTTACAGAAGCCGATATACCCCCACGCGTCCACCGTGATAAGACGACCCACCGCTTAAAACCTTCTTTGAAGATCCTCCTTTTAACTTAGACGTTAACCCTACAGCTCGAGTCTGATAAGTGGACTAGGATGACTCTTCCATGAAAGGAGAGACAAGGTGGTGTGTGTGTGTGTGTGTGTGTGTGTGTGTGTGTGTGTGTGTGTGTGTGTGTGTGTGTGTGTGTGTGTGTGTGTGTGTGTGTGTGTGAGTGTGTGTGAGTAATATCAAAGGAGGAGACTCAGGTCAGTTCAACAAAAGCAGCTTAAACGCAGTCTTTCTTGAAGGAAAGATTATAAACAAGATAACTGGACCGGTGTGACTGGATCAGGATAACCTATGTAAGATGGTGGAATCCGAATAACTTTGTAAAGATAAACGATTAAAGTTAGCTGGACTGACGTAGTTTGAGGAGAGCAATATACTGGTGCAATACACCGGAGCAATATACTTCAGTGGAGTCTGTTAGTATACAGTACATGGTGTGTTACTGCACGTTAAAAGTATATACGTTAAGCGGGTGTGCGGTGATCAATGAGCGGCTGGACGGACGTATGGATCCGCTCAGTGAGGATAAACTTCCATTGGTGACTTCTGGCCCATAGTAAATTTAAGTATATAAGAAGAAATATTTTTATAACTATGACATTGACCTATTCCTTTCATTCAGTTATTTACGCTATCCATTACAAGAAAACTTTAACAACAATTACCATAGTTTTATTATTATTTACAATGACATTTATGTTAGTTGAGGTTCTTAACGCACACAGGGAAGGACAATTTCTAAAAGGCTTCCTTTTCTCGGTTGGTTTCTTCTTCCTCCTGCCTTCCTTCCTCTTCAAATTTTCCGCCACACAATCATCATCTTAAATCCGTAACTCTTCTAACTTATCTGAGTTTTCTCATCATATTATCCTTCAACATTACCACCTTCATCACCCGAATGTAAAATGTCTTAAACTCTTGGTAAATGTGATATCTTTTTCCATCTTTTTTTTTCATAATTAGTGTACAGATATATGTTTGATGAATATATGCGGCAGTATATTAAGCAAGTTCATCTAAGGAAATGTTCACTGATAGGAGTCAAAATGTCTCCACATCATTTACAATGTTTTTTTTTTCGGGTCTGCATACTGTACATACATCAATGACTTCAATATCGCAATTTCTGTGCTTCAAATATTTTCATGCAACGCTCGCTCTCTGCATGGTTAATTGGATTAAAAAAACTAACTTTGTCGTTTGACTGTTCGACGAAAATGTTTGAAATACACACTTGTTAAGGGCAGCGCATCGTCCCACAGAGTAACAACACTTAGTTGGTAGTAACTTCACGACGACGTGTCACTTGATCCACTTAATACCTTGTATGGTTTCGTGTAACCATCATATTAGTTGAACTTTATGACAATTACGAGTTAACACACATACACACACACATAAAGAACTCACTCATAAACTTACACATACACGTAAACATGCATCCATACATACTACAAATTAAAAAAAAAAAAAATTCCTCTCCCGTATATATTTACTTTGCCACTGAAGCCGCTAAAGGAAGTACCAAAGTATTAGGAAGGCTGTGTGTTATGTTTTTGGTGGAGGAGGAAGGACTATTAACCACACTTCTACCTGACTGACCTGACAAACAAAACGAAAGGCTTATTAAAATGGACATCATGAAAGTTACTCGACGTATTTAACTTGTGCTGCTGTGACATGGGTATGCTCTCTCTCTCTCTCTCTCAGATGTAATCAAGCCTTTGCAGTACGTACTGTGGTCACCGGGGATGAGACTTTCATGGCCAGATACGTCGCGTCTAGTTAAAATGGACGCCAGAGCATTCCTCTTGACACGGCCTGATCACGTCTGCCGGAGTTTGGTCGGAGGGATAATGAGAAAAGTTAATTAGTTTTCTTACCCACACTCTGAAAATATCCTCAGAGACCTGTATTTCCCAGGGCGTCTTAAGGCTTCTAGTGTGTGTGTGCGCGCGCGTGTGTGTGTGTGTGTGTGTGTGTGTGTGTGTGTGTGTGTGTGTGTGTGTGTGTGTGTGTGTGTGTGTGTGTGTGTGTGAAGTTTATCTCGCAATTGATGAAGGACGGGCAGTTTTCTATTTTCATCTCTGAGTTTCCTCAAGCCGACTAACTCAGGAGGACTGGATGAGGGTAACAGTATGGGAAGGTGGCTCAAGGTGGCAGCGCCATATCTCACGTATCCCTAGAGACGTGTCATAATATTCGCCATGAGAGAGAGAGAGAGAGAGAGAGAGAGAGAGAGAGAGACAGACCAG